GCTTCTATACATATCAGCCAATGGAACTCTAATGACAACTGTATGAGGAGGTATCGTCATTGACCCCTGCTTCACAGATGGGGACGCGGAGGCACAGAGAAGTTCAGTAACTTCCTCCAGGCCACACAGTTCATGTGCGGTAGAGCTGGACTGGAATCCGGGCCACTTGGCCCTAAAACCTGACCCTTTCACTGGCTCTCCTTCCTCCAGCACCTGTGGCAGTTTGGGGCTGGACGTCACACTAGACGCCTTGAGGGAGGGAGGAGCCGAGTGAAGCGCCCAGCACACGGCAGGTGCTCCGTAAATGGTGGCTGCTCTCTGTGGTCCAGATTATACACCGCTTGTCCACATCCATTAGCTCAGTGAAATGTTCTGGATGTACCGGCCGGTAGGTGGGGAAGGTCTTACAGTCCCATTTTACAACTGAGGAAACCGAGGCTCAGAGCACGCAAGTGATGTGTTCAGGGTCACACAGCAGGCGAATGAGGGGCCAAGAATCAAGCTCAGAGCTCCAGAAGGCAAGTTCCAGTCTCCTTCCTCTCACAGTGCCTTGCTGGATAGCACCGCATCAACTGATTAATAAATAATACTTGTGGACCTGTCTTAAAAGCTTGTCTTGCCAAGTCCTGTGGCATCTCCTCTGTAATTACCTTATTCTCTCCTGCGGGGGCCAGTGAGCGTCCTCAGACTTGTCTCCTTCCTGGCAGGAAGAGGTCTGTCTGGACACAGAGGCCAGCCTCGGAGACCCAGCAGTTTCTCTCTCTCTCTCTCTCTCTCTCTCTCTCTCTCTCTCTCTCTCTCTCACTCTCGCTCACTCTCCTGTGTCTCTGCTCCACTTGTTTTGTCTTGGACGGCTCCCCTGGGATGAGCTGTGCTCCTGTGACATTTCTTCCCTTTTGTGTTCCTGGTAAGGGCATTTCCCCAGAGGCTCTTAAAAGAGAAGGATGCAGTGAATACAGCTCAGCGAGCCCAGTGGGGCCAACCAGCCAGAGCCTGAGGACCGGGCGGAAGCTGTGGCACCGGTCCCTTCTTCACGGGCCGCCTCCGGCGTGCACACGCATGTGGGTGCCGATGCACACATACACACACGCACACTGTATTGCAGGGCAGGCTGAGATGTGATTGAAACATGGGGTCCTCTGGCTGGAGGGGCTCAGTCAGCCTCCCTGAGGCATCTTAGCGCAGAGCCCTCTGCAGACTTGCTGTATTGGTTTCCTGTGGCTGCTGTAACAAGTAACAAACTCAACGGTTTAAAACAACACAAATTTATTATTTTACAGTTCAGGCGGTCAGAAATCCTAAAATAAGGTGTTGGCAGAGCTGCGTTCCTGTGGGAGGCTCTGGGGAGCTTTTTCAGCTCCTGGGGGTCGCCTGCAGTCCTTGGCTTGTGCCTCTCCCAGTAACAGCATCTCTCTCTCCCGCCCCCGCCCCTTCTACACTTTATCATCACCTCTCCTCTCTGACCTCCTGCCTCCCTTTTTTTCCTTTGTAAGAGTTCTTGTGACTGTGTTGGGCCCACTCAGGGAACTCAGTCTCTCCATCTCAAGATCCTTAAATGTCTGTAAAGCCTCATTTGCCATGTAAGGTAATATATTCCCCGTGTCTGGGGATTAGGACTCCGGCGTCTTCAGAGGCCATTTTTCTGTCTCACTTGCCAAGTGGAGTGGGAACATTCTTTCTCCCTGGGCTACCTCAGTACCCATCTCCCTGGAGACAGTGCAGCACAATATGGGCCCTGAAGCAAACTGTTCAGATTCTCACCCTGCATCCCCTCTCTTTCCAGCTGTGTTACCTTGGGCAAGTCACCTACCCTCTCTGTGTCTAAGTTCCCCGTCTGTAAGAAGAGATACACTGTAACAACTTCATGGCACTGTTATAAGTCATGAAAAGCTCTGGGGTGACAGAGGATGTCACATGCTGCATCACAAGCACCAGAACTAAACGGGAGGGACCATTATAATTAGGGTTGCCATCTAGCATAATAAGTAGAAACTCAGAGGACCTTGATTCAAATCCTAGTCTCACCACTTACGAACTAAATGGCCTCAGGCTATTTGCACGAGGTGCCAGAGCCTCAGTTTTCTCATTTGCAAAACGAAAATAAAACAATGATTGTCTTAACCCATGGGGCTGTCATGGGGATAAAACAATACCGTGGTGCACGTGAACTCCCCGGAGCACAGCGGGTAGCTCTGGCTGGTTCAGTTGTCATCACCACCTCCGCCACTGCCTGTCCTCCCAGGGGCGAAGGGGCACCTTCCTGGACTGCCTCTGGCCTCAGCAGAACAAGGACAGGACAGGCAGCCTGCTGGACCCAGGGCCCCCAGAGACCGCTGTGCAGTGCCCCAGCTTTGAGAGGGTCAGGGCAAGGCTGGCACAGCCTGAGGCGGGTACCTAAGAGGCAGCCCCTCTGCAGGGCTGCTAGGCGTCCCAGCAGCGGCCAGTTCTATGGACGAAGGGCTCTCGGGACAGAAGAGGGGTTTGGACATGGTGATCGGGGAGGTGGGGAAGGTAGGGACAAAGTTCCGAGAGAAGCCACGGCCAGTTCCTAGATGGTGTGGTCACCAGGAAAGGTGCGGGGTTCTGGTTTCAACCATATCTTTTTTTTTTTTTTTTTTTTTTTTTAAATTTTGCTGCAAAGCCCTGTCTCAATGAATACTTGGGCGGATGCCCAGTATGCAAAACAGCGAGAAGCACAACTGCTGTAGTTGAAACCAGGGGTGGGGGTGGGGGCAGCAACTTGAGCCTCTTTTTCACTCCCGTGCGGACCTCTAGGGGGCCTCATTTGAGGAGAAACTAGCAGGGTGGCAAAAACACAGGCTTTGCAGTCAGACCTGGGGTGTGCGTCCCTGCCTCCGCTGCTGCCTTGACATGTGGGCTCTGGGGCTTCACCTCTCCTGTCTGAGCCTCGGTCGTCTTGTATGAAAATGGGATGAGGTGGTGAAGACTGGCAACAGTCACTCTAGAGGGCCCGGCACATGGGAGATATCTTGGCCTTCAGCAGGTGGTGGCTATTTTGATTCCCTAAGGGAGTTCATGACAGGCCCTCCAAGAACACTCGTCTAATGCTCAGGGAAACCGTGAGGCAGAGTAGACATTCCTTGGGATTAGGAGCCAAAAGGCTTGGGAGCTACTTGGGTTCTCATCCTGCCACCAGCAGCCTGTGGGCCTTTAGTCCCTCTCTGGGCTTTGTGAATCGCTTTGCAGGTGTTTATTGGGGGCCTATGTGCCTGGCAATGTTCTAGGCACTAGGACACAGGCCCTGGCATCTGAAAGGCAGAGTTCCAGATTCAACTCTGCCACTTCCTAGCTTTTTGGCCATGGGTAAGTCACTGCCCCTCACTGGTCCTCAGTTTCTCCATGTGTAAAGTAAAGGGATCGAACTGGTATCATAGGGACTTCCCAGAAAAGGTTCAGTGAGGTCGTGGCCAAAAAAAGTGTCGAATGCACTTGAACTTGACTCTGACATTCTGGAACATGGGCTTCGGAATCGTACAGCCCTGGGCTGGAATCCCGTGCCGCCACTGACTGCGGAACCCTAAGCAAGAGACTTGACTTCTTGAGTCTCAATGTCCTCATCTGAAAAGTGGGGGCAATGATAGCGCCCTCCGAGGGGCATGGCGAGGCCTCACAGTGCTGATGCAGGTGAAGCTCCTAGCAGAGTGGCTGGTGCATAGTTGGTTCTCAATAAATGGTAGCTGCCTTCACACCGCCACCGCCACCATAATCGTCGTCACCCCAGTGAAGACCACCGTCACCGCCATCCTCACCACCATCGTGAGCATCGTTGTTGTGGTCGCCTATAAAGAGAAGCTCTAAATGGTCTCTTAAGTTCTGACATTTTAAGTTCTGCTTTGTTAGGGGAGAATTAAGTGACAAACGAGATACCTCTTCCTGGGCCACTCTTTAGGGGAGGGTCCCCAATAATGAGGGCTCTCCGTCACTTGTCAGAGGAGTTCTAAACAGACCTTGGTCTGTTTGAGGTTTCCTATCCTTTGCCCAGAGTGAGCGGGGATAGGGCCTGTGAGATGCAGAACACTGGGAGCCATGGGAATCAATTTCTTTGTGTATATTTCTCCTTTTCTTGGTTGCATTTTCTTGTCCACGTAGCGATTTCACTTCAGAAGGTCAGTCTGGCTCTCTTGGGGATGGGTCTCTGGCTAAGGCCCAATTGTCTGATTTAGACGTCCAATAATCTCCCAGTACGTCCTGCTCAGACCGCATGCTGGAAGGAGGGACTGGCACCTGCCATCCTACGCTGGCTGTAAATTCCTTTCTCACTCTGTCAAAACATCTGAATCGTAGGACAGGTCGTGGATCATGAGACCATAGCAGCTCACATCTCGTGTGTTCTTATTGTTGCTTTTTAACCTCTTCCTGTCTTTAGGGAAACCAAGTAGTCAAAACCTCCTTTGTAGGTGGGACTTGGAGACATTAGATGACTTTTATAAGGTTGTATGGGGGGTTAGACCTGGGACCCAGGAACCTGTCAACTGCTTATTCAACTACGCCACCCTGTCCCTTAAACATTTCCTTTTGCTAAGCCTCATCTTTGCTACTCTGAACCCCGAGGCTCCTGAGGTCCAGGACAGAAATCTGCAATAACATGGGTGAGGGCAAGATCAGCGGGGCTGATTTCTTTTGGGGAAATCGACTTGCAGGTTCCCACACTGGGGTCAGACTTCTCTGAGCCCAGCCAAGCGGTAGATGCTTTGGGGGAGTGTGTGGAAAAGGGGCTGCGAAGTGACAGCTCCTTTGCTCTGAGAGTGACGATATTAGAACAAGTGTGTGGTAGGTAGGCTGTCACAGACTTCACTGTGTGATGGCGAGAAGTCCCGTCCCCCTCCTTCCCCTGGACTCCCCCTTCTCTACTGGAACCATCCAATAACTTAACTTCACCGCCTGAGGAGGGTTCGCTTCCCGCCCGGCCCCTCCTCCGCCACGGCTTAGCGCTGTCCGCGGTGCTGATCGCCAATCTCCTGACTGCCGTTCGACCCGCTGGGATCTCTGGTGCGCCCAACCTCTCCTCCCGCCTCCCACCTCTCTTTCTCCAGGCACCTCACCCATAAATCACGGGTGGGAGGCAGCCTTGGTTCCCCTGTGCCGAGAAGCTGCTGCCCCCTCCCTTGCTCAACACAGGGCTTTGCAGCAGTGGAGGCAGCCGCCGCTGATTTCGGGCACTGGAAGCAATTGATTCGTCGGCTGCCAGCAGCCTGGAGTTGCCTACGCGGGCGGACGACAGAGAGGAGGGGAGAGAGAGAGAGAGACTTACAGAGCAGAAACCTTCATCCATGTGGAGGGCAGTCTGAGGGAGCCACGGTCTTTGCCTTGTCCACCGACTGGTCTGACTTTTCCCCTGTTCTGGTGGGGGTATTTCTTTTCATCTTGGTACTGCATGATTTAGAGATAGTTGAGGTGTGCGTGCATGTGTGTGTTGGCTCTTAGATTTTATTTTGGGAAGAGTAGGAGAGTCAAATGAACAATTTTCTTTCAGGCACCTCCACTGAGCTTTCAAACCAAGTCATCGGAAGTTAACATCTTCCCACCCGGCAGGGAAGGGGAGTTGCCAAGAATCTGGCTCACCGTTCCCCCTGCAGTCCTCCAGTGTCGGTAAGTGATATTCTCCTGAATTGTGCAAATGGGCTGGGGGCATTGGAACCCCAGTCGTGATGAGGCATGCACAGGGGGCGGGTGGTCTGGGGGGCTGGTGGGGGGTGGTGCTGAGGAGCGGCCGTGGCTACTTGCCCACATTCTGCAGCGTTTGATCACCCAAGTGGCACCCCAGGGTATTTCAGCTCAGTGCCTGGGGAGGGGTAAAATATGCTCACATTTTAGGCACTGCGATAAAAATTGTGGCTGCTGCCCAGTTTGGCCTCTCCCTTGCAGCAGAAGCTGTGGAAAGTAGCTGGCAGTTCTCTGAGTGAATTAACCCTTCGTGGGGCTGGCCAGCCTGACACGGAGGGTCTCAGGGGGTTCTGATCTAGTGGGTGGGCACCTTGGCCCTAGACAGGAGAGGGTCGCCTGAGGCTGGAAGGTTAACCCTTGCCTAGTGTCACCTCAGCACACCAGGTGAGGCTTGCGCAGGACAGGGCTCCGATTGTTCCATCTTCCAGGGACAGCAGAGTAATTCAGTTGTGGTCAGTTTTTTTCCCCAAGCTTGGCTGTTCTAATCCTCTTGAGATGAGACCCAGGAGCCATGAAAGGGACCGCATTTTTCTTGGAATAAGTGGTCGGGTGGGTCAGAGGGGAGCATCCAGCTGCGTGCTGAGCAGACGGTGCTTTATTTTCACAGGTGGTGTAACCTGTAAGTGATTGTATGGCGAGGGGTGCATCCTGGCACCAGCCAGGGAGACTGCATCCTTGAGCCCGACTCAGAGTGGGGGAAGAAGGGAGCGGGGTTTGCTCAGGTGCCGGGGAAGGGCTCCCAGTGCCAGCGCCAGCTCCGTTCCAGGGCCGAGCCTTCCCTGCTGTAATCATCTGAGATCCTGATGGGATAAGCCTGCGCCAACCTGTTAGTGAGTGGCAAGTGGAGGCCCTTTGCAAGCGAATCCAGAAACTCACATTTCATTTTAAAATGACTTTGCTGCTAATCTGTGACTTATCAAAAGGAGATTTCTCTTTGCTTCCTGCTGTGATTACAGCTACCTTTCTGGAAATAAATGTCCTTATTTTTAGCATCTCTACTGGTATCTCAGGGTTCGCTTCAGTCTCCTGCACCCCTAAGGAGTTCCTCTTTAGGTTCTTGTTCTTGGAGGCGGGAGGAATGAACTCTCAGCCCCAGAGACTGGCGAGCCTGGGCCGTAGGCAGGGCCCACTCAGTCGTTTTCTCCAGCTCCGGAGCCCCATGGGGACGCTGACATGCCGGGGCGCGTGCCTGCCCAGGCAGGACATGTGAGGGAGAAGGGAGGGCTTCTCAGTGGTTAGTGCCCAAGATTAGGTCCTCAAATTCCAGACCTCCTACACTGAGTGACCTTGAGAACAAAGTTGCCTTAGTTTCCTTCCCGGGAAGCCTCACATATAAATGATGTGAGGAAATTCAGTTCAAATATGAAGCCACAGATCTGGCTATGGGTGATATTTAACTTTGGCATTGACTGGTCAGGCTGGACCATGGTGGGGAGGCCGTGGAGTGGGGGTCTTTAGGGTCCTCTGCAGTGCTGAGTATTGACCTTTGAGGGTCTGGAGTGGCCTGGGGAAGGATCAAGGGAGCCCCAGGGGCCTCAGTGCCACATCACCGACTGGTACGGGAGCGTTTTAATATTTTAATGACTGGTTCAGCCATGCAGTGCATGTCAGCCCAGCTGCGGGAGCCACGACTGGGTTGTCCCCATGGGGGTGCTTTTCAAGCACCTCCTTGCCGTCCCCCAGTCCTACTTCCTTGGGGGTGGCTAAGATCCAAGAGGCAGCCTTCCCTCCTCCCCCATCGCATTTGAAATGGTGCATTGTGGTGCACCAGGGAGAGGGAGACAGGAGCTTCTGGAAGGAGCCTTGCACTTGGAGTGGGAGACCTGGGTTCTGGCCCCAGCTCTGTCTCCCCTTTCCGGGCCTCAGTTTCCCCACCTGTGCAATATGGTAATTGTTCAAGGTGACCTCAGAGCTCCTCCCAGTTCTGGGGTCTCTGTGTGTTAAGTGTGTATGCATGTGCACGCACGCTTCTAGGCAGGGTTAGTTCTGTCTTTGGGAAGGCATCACCTGCATTGAGGAGTCCTTGTTTGGGGTCCACTGGGGCGTGATGGGGGGCTCTTGTGAGAACTTCAGGTTCCTGGAATCCCGTGCTCAGGGAGAGAGTGCTCTGCTTTCTGTGCAGCATAGGCAGGTGCACAGACAGATTTTACAGCGCATGGAGGCCCATAGAAGCTCATCCTGGGGGTGACAGCAAGAACCCCTTGGAGAGCCACCCCTCTGAGAAGAGGCCCATTCGCTCAAACACCCAATATCAGGGGGTTCATGGGCCCTCTCTAGAGCCCATGGGAGCACCTCAAGTTCAGAACCTCTGATCCAGTCTAACCCCTTTTGGGGGAGGGGGACAGAGAGGGAAAGCAACTTTCCCAAGGCACCCCCGCCCCCCACCGCCAGCAAGTCACGGCACAGCAGCATGCGGGTCTACCGTAGTGAAGACAAAGCATCATCCCCTCGCTCCCAGCTCTGGCAGCCGCCAGCCCGCCTGGGGCGTGGAGACAGGACAGGAGCACCTCGCCAGCCTGTGTCGGTTCTAGGGACACACAGGCATGGAGCACAATGCGGACGTTTCCTTTCTCGCATAAGAGAGGCAGCACCAGAGAGTCCATGGTTTCACAGGGACGCCTGGAAAGCCAGCCTCCCTGGTTTGCTGTGCTTTTTCCTCCCCTTACTGCTCCTACACGTCCCAGATGCCTGTCCAGAGCTGTGGCTTCCGGTCAGGGTAGCTGCTCTGGGGGGTTATTTGTAGCATGTGGTGGTATTTACTCTTTATTTGCCCCTCCCCCTGCCCTGTCTCACTGTCTATATATATGGGTCATCAAGGGTCTGTGACTTTCTAATAAAATCCACCATGACATATGGACCTGTCTTCCGCTCGCCCTCCCCTTTGAGTGGGGAGCTGGGCGTAAATGCAGACACAGCAGCAGCCGATGTGAAGACGGTGAGAAGCCACCAGCGCAGTTCATTCTGTTTAGGCGTTGTGGCTGTGACCCAGGCTCAAAATAGCCCCGGGTCCCAGGAGAGGTGGGCTGGAGCCGATGAGCTTAAATTACTCCGCTGCCACCCACGATAGGCATCTTCGAGGTGCTGGGGTGGGAATGGGGTGCCACAGCCCCCTCTCCCTCCTGCTCCCATCCCCGGCTGCTGGCAGAGCCTCCAGGGCTGCTGTGTGGGACTCCGGGAGCAGCCGGACCCGAGTTTGAACCCTGACGCCAACGCTTATTGCTGTGTGACTTCAGGCAAAACCCTCAACATCTCTGAGACTCAGTTCCTCTGGCATATGAAAGTAGTTCGGTGTGATCGCTAAGAGCGTGGGGCATGGAAAGAGAGCTCCTGGGTGTGGATCCTGGTTCTAGCACTTGCCAGTTGTCTCACTTTGCCTCTCCGGGTCTCAGTTTTTCCACCTGTTAATGGGTTAATGCTTGTGAAGTGCTTTGTGTTGAGCCTGGCGAGAAGCCAGCGCCCTGCAGCTGCTAGTGACGAGGATGATGTCAGCGGTGGTGACAGTGGAATTCCCCCTGACCCAGACATGATCAGGGTGAGGGAGAGGGAGGTGAGTCCCTCCTGCCAGCCGTGCAGCCTTGGAACCCAGGAGAGAGAGGACGTGGCCAGAGGTCCCTGGACCTCCATGTCTTCATCCATGAAATGGGCACACTGACCCCCTTTCCTTAACGCTTGTGTGCCCCTGAGGATCAGGGCAGGCCCTGTGGGGAGAGGCCAGGAGGGGAAACCCTCGGAGTGCCTCCGAGTCTTTCGTTCCTTCAAATGTTGGGTGGCTTTTGCTGAATCATCTAACCTCACCGTCTCAGAGCCCGTGCCTTTTTCCCGGCAGACCTGAGCTTTCCCTCGCTCCCGGCCACCGTGCGCCTGCACAGGGCCCCCACAGGTGTCACAGGGCGGGAGGGATCCTTGAAGGCCAAGGTTGTGCCACCTCCATTTACGGAGCCTGGGTTTGCACACAGCTCAGCAGCAACTTGCATGCGTGCGTGTGTGAATGAATGAAGCCTCCGTTGACTGACTAGTGGACAGGTCAGTTTGGGGAAGTGCCTTGGCCTGTGGTCCAGCCAGAGGCCTGATTATGATGAGTCACTGGTGAAGTTTGGAAGGACTTTGCTTTCCTCTTGGGCCTCCTACAGGCAACCTACAGGCCTCTCTCTCCTCCTGCCAGAAGAGCCATTGCCATTTATTCATGTGTCGCATGTTTATTGAGTATTTACAGTATGCATGGCACCATGGCGGGCATTGGGAATAAAATGGTGACAATCCCTTTGGGACTTAGATAAAGCAAATGGCTACTTATAAAATGTGCTCTTTTGTGGGGTGGTACTTGATCACCCTAAAACACTCAGCTCACGGACCTCCGGAATTCCATCACGAACGTTTCACTTTGTCGTAGGGCTTTGTGCTTGGACAAAGAGCAGGGGCTCTGGGGTGGGGCGGTGCCTCCATCCTTCCTTACTGGTCACTCCCACCTTAACGAGGGGCTGTGAGATGCTTCCCCAAAGGCGAGGAGAGTGCTTTTCTGGAGCAGGGAGTGGAGTGGGCGCACGCTAATCTTGCAGGTAGAAGAGAGGGCCAAGGCAGAGAAAGGCGAACGTTGCTGGAGACACATTCTGCAGGGGAATGAAAAGCTCTGCGGCGCCCAAGAGAACCCAAGGGCAGCTCTTGGGCTGCACCCGATACCCGTGCCATCGGCCCTGGGGCCAGGATTTCCAAAGCCTCCACTGCCATAGGTGAAGGCGGGGTTTCATTTTATTTTCAAGGTTTCTTTAGACTTTTTTTAAAAAAAGATGTTATTTATTTTCAGAGAGAGGGAAAGGGAGGGAGAAAGAGAGGGAGAGAAACATCAATGTGTGGTTGCTTCTCATGCGCCACCCTCCTGGGGACCTGGCCCGCAACCCAGGCCTGTGCTCTGACTGAGGATCAAACCG